GATGAGAGCGACGAGCTGGAGGAGCCGGCGGCAGGGCCTGACACCGCAGTGCCGAAATTTGAGGGTAAGAGAAGCGTTTGCCTCGTCCCCGGGGTGCAATGAGAAATCTGCGCTGGAGGGGGGACGACACACATTTACTCGGGTCCCTCGGGGACCTGCGGAGCGTCGGGAGCTGTTTTAATGGTGCTGGGTGTCCTGGTTTGAGCTACGCAGGATTAATTTCTCTGTCAGTGGTTTTACTTTTCAGTAAGGTCTCTTCTAATGCCGGGGAAAACTGCACTTTTAGAAGACACTAGTGTCTGAATTGGTGAAAATATTTACTTTATAGCCAACTCCGGGCTGCGGGTTTCAAGGTCTCAGTGTTTTCGAGCTCGCCAGGTGCAGGGACGGGGAGGAGTGAGACCCGGGCACTTGACCCGAGCTGCCCAACAGGGTTATTTCATACCCTGAACGGCACATGCAGTATAAATTAGAAAGTTTGCTGAGGAGTTTTCGATGATGGCTGCGACCCTGTGAACTTCTTGCCCCAGCCCCGTCCCCTGAGTATAATCCCTGTATATTTTGTATTGGTATCACGGTCAATATTGGTTCTTTAGTATTATTAATGTTAATTATTTAGTATTATTCCATTAAATCTGTTTATATGTCAACCCTTGGGTTTCCCTGTTTTCTCCACTTCCCCTTCCCGGGTGGGGAGAGGTCATTGGGTGAGAGAATAATTGTCTAAAGGACAATAGATTGTTGCGGATTCTCCAAACCATAACACCGGGTCACCCCGCCTTGCCGGTGGCATTGTCCCCTGGCCTCGCGCCCTCCGTCCCTGCTGCGGGTGTTGATGTGGCCGGAGCCGGGGGACGGGCTCAGCCGCTGCCTCCCCGGCTGCTGCTGGAGTCGTTTGTCGCGCGGGTGGTCCGAGATGTGACTCTTCCAGCGGGATCTCGGCTTCTCCCCATGGGATCTCGGCTTCTCCCCATCGCTGTGGGAGGTGAGGGGTCCCCTCCGGCTCTCACCGGCGCTCCCCGCGCCTCTCCCGCAGTTCCCAGCCCCGATTTCAGCTTCCACGCCGACGAGCACCTGGAAGTTTACGTCTCGGCCACGGAAAACCCCAACCACTTCTGGATCCAGATCGTTGGCCACCGCAGCCTGCAGCTGGACAAGCTGACGGCCGAGATGGGGCAGTACTACCAGAGCAGCGGCCGCGCGGTGAGACCCCACGGGGCACCGGACTCGTGTCCCCTCTGCAGTGGGTCCCCTCGCCCGGCCTGGGGATGTCACCCACCCTGTGTGTCCCCCCAGGCAGAGCTCTCCACCGTCCAAGCAGGGGACATCGTGGCCGCTCCCTACGCCGACGACAGCGAGTGGTACCGAGCCCGCGTGCTGGGCACGCTGGAAAACGGCAACTTTGACCTTTACTACGTGGATTTTGGGGACAACGGGGAGGCCCCCCGCGAGGCACTGCGAGCCCTGCGGTGAGCGCGGGGTGTCACCGGGAGGGGGACAACGACGGGGTCGCGGTTTAACCTCCCTGGGGAAGCGTGGTGGGGGCTCGTGGCTGTGCCGCTGGAGGAGTTAGCCGGGGTAATCCGGTGTTTTGTGAAGCGGTTGGGGCGTGAAGAGCCGCGGAAACCCCCGGGGGAGCCGGGATGGTGGCCGAGCTGGGCTGTCCTCGCCGGGGGA